TAATTGAAAAAACACGCAACATGTCCTTTATAATAAAACGTTAAAAAAATAAGAAAAGCTCGTACATTTTTTGAATAGGGTTTGCATTTACTTAGATTATATACAAGCACGCTGAACAGATGTCCGGTCTTGGAATCGAAGCTCCCCAAAATACACGAGAGGCAACGTTTCCACTTGTTCCTTTCCTTCTCTTCGCGTAATGACGAGAGCAGCTAGATTGCTTTTGTGACAATAATATTATCTTCACAACCTCACAAAGCTATTACTGTAGCGGCGAAAGTTGTGTATATACTGAGACTTCGTTTAGAATCAAAGAAAAGCTTTATTTTAATCACGTAAACAGTTTGAAAAAAAAAGTGTAAACGTAGTATACGGACGTACGCATTGTAAAAAATGTACATGACTATCGTTGCGAAACGGAGTTCACGACAGAGTTAATCGTCCTCACGCACCCTCCCGTGGCAACCCACCCATGAGAGCTTCACGCCGCGACGTCATCGCCTGTAAACGACTGACGTAAAAAAAAAAAATTGTGCAATGGGTTAAACGGATGTACAGCGCTATAAAAGAGAGGCACGAATCACAGAAAGAACGCACTTAGTTCAGCGGTTCAGCTTCACGGAAAGTATCCGTAAGTATAGGTTTCCAAACTAGCACGAAGTATGGCCAGTCTTCTGTTGTCTTTGACGAATGTACCTTTTTCCAGTAAGCTTTCTCGTATGCCTACATCCTTTCCCCCGCGGCACTCGCTACCGTGGCAAGTGTCTTGCGTGTTCCCACTATAATGGTGGTATGGTACTTGTGAGAAACGTTAAACGAAAATTTTATCAAGGGCTTTAGCGACAGATTCATTTCAGTGGTTGTTTCTTATCAATGGCCTAAATCTAGGACAGAGCCTCGCGATCACTGCGGAGCACTGCCATTCCAACTTCGCCAGGGTAAAACAGCCTTCCTTCCGAGAGCGCTAGTAGGTCGGCCCAAACATGATGGCCTATGCCCTCTGGGAAATGAAGTTAGGTTCGTCAGGTTTGTCCACCTTGTGCGGGATGTTTGCAACTTTGAGACGGCCCGCGGTGGCAATCATTGGACCCGATCTCGAGCTCGAACGTTCGGGTGCCCTGCCGAACACTGACGCAAAGCTGGCGTCCTAGACATTCGGTGGTAAGGCCTTCCCAAAGTTGCCCATTTTGGCCACCAGCCCTGCTGACTAGCAGCAGAGTTATAGGCGCCTCCAGTTCAATGCCCTGGGGCCGTACTGGGCAACCACTCATCTGCAGCTGTGAGCTGTCTCTGTAGTTCCTTCAAAATCTCTGGGCGTGTTGTCTCTGAGTAGCATAACAGGAAATGAACTGAAACGAGCTTTTTCTTAAAGCCCAAGATTTATTTTTATTTTTTGAGGATCAGACTAGCAGTGATGTATGCTGACCCAACCCGACACGACACTGACCTCAACACGACACTGACCTCAACACGACACTACCTTACAATGAGTAAAAGTGTCTTTATATTTCTTTGCTACAATTATAGATGTAACTTTGTTGCGATATTGCCTGCAACCGCGAGATGTGATTTACAGATCACATATTAAAAAAAAGCGTTCGGAAATGCTAGTCCTAACAACTTAGTTCACTCAGATAATGGAAACGTGAAAATTAATTCACTTCGAATACATCTATAAATTAATACAGCACTTATTAGTAATAGCTTCAACTTAAGCACAGACAAGAAGTGCACAAAATGACAAATGCGCAATGTTTTAAACAGCAAACGCCCAGGAAGAATCAATTTTGATGAAATAAACTAACACGAATTTGTTTCTGCTGTCTTCATGTCGCTGCTGCGACGTCGCCGCACGGGTGGATAGATCTTGTCATTTAAGGCGTCCAGAATTCAAACTGCGACATGTAAGAATAATATTTCAATTTGACACAATTATTTTTACATACCATATGGTGAAGCTAGTTATATCTTATACGTATATTCTCCAATAGATTGCGGTAAAGTATTGGGATAGCGTCGAAAATCTCTAAACCAAATGTCACCCAAAAAGCAAAAAAAAAAAAAAAATCGCTTTGTATTTTAGATCTTTAAATATTTCCCCACCTCCTCAAATAATACCTGGTAAGGGTTGTCAGATTTCACTTCCACGTCCTCATAAAAAGAATTCAGCTGTGGCCACAACGGCAGTTCCGGAGCTACATACATTTTGTGTAAAATTAAAGAAAGTGTTCCTATGACCAGCGTGAATAATTATGCGAATGCAAAGAACAACGTTACTAAAACACTCAGTTGGGAAACTCCCATAAAGACAGCTTTGAAAAAGTGGCCCCAATCTGTCTCCGAGCACAGAGCTAATGACGAACACAACGCCACCATTTGTCCCACAGCGGCCACTCGAGGAACTGCACGTGACTTCTATTTTGCCTTTAAGAACAGATACAGCGGAAAAGGTTACAGGGGTGCCACTCCCGTTTCCCCGGCGGACGCGCCGCGTCGAACTACTGAAGTTAAAATGCACCTAGGTCGGGACGTGCTACCTGAAAGTCCCGCTGAGGCATGGTTGTATAAAAACAATATTAATTGTGCCGCAAAACCCTGCAAACTAAAGATTTTAAAAACATAACGCGCCCCTCTTTTTGTACTAAACTCCAATAAATTTCATACAAAAAGAGTATTTTCCGTTTGTTTTTACGCAGAAACAGGCTTTCAAAAAGCTCAAGGCGACCACAGTACAGACAAACGCTAAAGAGTGGCGCTGTTGTCGCATTTAGCTCTGTCTAGGTGGACGCCAGTGGCCCAGGTTTCGACGGCGAGTTTCCCAACTGAGTGTTTTAGTAACGTTGGCAGAGAAGTAAAACAACTAACGTACTCATCGCTAAGAATAAACACGACAAACGTTTAAAAACAAGTTTCACAAGAGTGTTCATTGACCCCTCGTGTCCTCCCGAAGCCACTCTTCAATAACAGCTCTGCACTGTGACGTGGAGCAACGTCAGCTGCTCCACGTCACGTTAAAGGCTCTATTAAATGGCGTCCTGGCAACACTGAGGGACGTTTGTCATGTACCTACTAGGTCAAGTATCTACCTCCGTTCACTATCACCAAAATAAAAAAAAAAATTCCGTCCGAAGTTTCTGGTTTAGATCATGCATGCAACTGTCTCGTTGTTTTTAGAGCGCAGCTCTTAGGCGTCCGTTTCTGGCTTGAGCGGCGTCTCCGTCGCCGTCGGCGTAACCGCGTGCGTTGCATTATGGGAGTAATGCAAGAGGGCGTAACCGCGCGTTGCATTATGAAAAAGTTTCCCCGCTAAATTTAGAAAGGAAATGTTGCAGCTAAATTTAGCGAGAAATTTTATCACTCAATCTAACGTAAAAATTTCCCGCTAAATATTGCGGGGACATTTCCCCGCTAAATGGGAGAGGAGCACAAGAGGGGGAGGAGGGTCATACCCTCCCCTCCGTACCCTCCCCTCCCCCTCCTCAAGAGCTGCGCTCCAATTCGGCATTACAGAGTATTGTAAAGGTCTTATTTTTTTTTCAGTTCCCCTTCACCCCCCCCCCCCCCCCACTCCTTCCACACGTCTTAATCTTTTTAATTATGCCCGCGGCTGCACTTGTAATCAAGCCCCTGCTCTACTATACTGAGACAACTCAGCTCGTCCACCCTAGTAGGCAGGCCAGTGTAGGACATACGCATGTGTCGCAAGCACACGAAATGCCCACGGCAGTCGTGCAGCCAATACCGTGTAAAAATATTTCCTAGGCGAGATACACTCGTTCCTAGAACCTATTAGACAGACAGAGAGAAACGCTCTTTCTGAGGATAGGGTTCAAGTGCGTGCAGCGCCATAATTTATTTTCTCCCGTAGTACGTCGAAAACCACCGCTACAACTAAGGCACCTGGGAGCTGCCGATACCTTGGAGCTTCGCTGTGATGCCTCATGTTTTGGCACAGTGAATATGTTTTGGCCAATAAAGGAGCATCGGATTTAGATCGATACATCTGAAGTTTGTCAAGCGGGCACAAGTATTTGCTTAGTAAGAGGTTAGTCCTAATACTTAATTAACTTAATTTCTTTTAAAATCACATTCTACAACTTTCGGAAAAACTGGTGCCCACTGTCGGAGACTTTCAGGATTCTTTGGTAGAAAATGTAAGGAAACATAACGTTCCATTAGGAAGGGAAAGGAAGAAGCTTCTTTTCATGAGCTTGGGAGGGTAAGATAAGCCACAATGGGACACAAACGCAATGTTTCGGGAGCCCTAGAGTCGCCAGATATATTACGGAGTGACGAAACTGCCTTTTTTGGGCTGCGCACCATCATCCTGGGTGCATGTACCTGTGGAGTTTGTGTTGGGCCTCTCAACTATAGGAGAGGCCACACAGTGTGAGCCGATCCAAATTCGCAGTGACAATCTGTCTTATAAAAACAATCTCTCTTACACCGACATTGTAATACATCCGCTACGTATTCAAGCACCGATCGTTCTTTATTAACCTCTAACAAGAAAAATTCCAAATATGATCTTTTTGGACAAATGAATACTTTCTCATACGAAATAAAAAAAAAAAAGAAGTAAGGAATATAAAAGCACGGGTTCCCAGCGCACTCACCAGCCGCCGTTACTCGCTACGCTATATATTGACGTAAGTATAAATTAGATAGGTGGTGTCAACCGAGAGCGCACAAAGCTCCAAGTTATTGTATGGGACCACTTTAGTGTACCAATGTTTTCACTGGGCCTTGGTGAAGTAACTCGAAACTGGCCAAACACTTAATTGGATGGTTAAATTAAAATAATATAACTTAAGTAGATGAGAATGCAAAGAGGCCTACACAAAAAGGATCAGATGCTGTGTGTTTTTAGCTTTAAAACGTTAACCAATGAGGCATTGAGTCTCGTTGTATTCGGACGCTAACCTCAAATACATGCTCTCTTTCCAGGTGCGCAGCACGACGTAAAACCCATGATGTTCCACCTCAATCATCCGAAGAAAATGATCATGGCAAATTTTGTGTTCTTTATAATTTGTCTGCAAACCACCCCCAGGAGTGAGTAGACAGTTCTCTGTAACTCGTAACTTAGAAGCCGAGCCTTCAGAGGCCATGCATGGGCGCTGAATTGCCGACTTTGTTTTGTCTGTTGGTACAATATTCGTTATATAAGGTGTCTGCAGTGAACGTTACCGATGTAAAAAGAAACGGAAAAGCCTCGTTTGCACATACAAAGCTCACACGTTCCCCGAAGGTGCATCGTCCTTAATTTTATTCTGTGATATTTCAGGCCTATATTCTTTCTTGTAAAAAATCAAATAAAAAAACTCGTCAGGATGAGCTTCCGATGTGTTAGAGACGATTGAGGTAGTAATGGTAGAGGGGCTCGATTGTAGAGAGCGTTTATCTCAAACCATGGAGGGCGTTTGCAACTTAATGGCGGAGTCCTCCTGGGGAAATTGGTCGTAAGTGGGCACAAACTGCTTTTTTTTATGCGGCGAGGAGGAAAGCAGGCGAAAAAGTGGAGACATTTGCAGACGATCAACGCTTTCGGCACCTCCTTGCAGGTCGTATTGCAAACGTGCCCATAAACCACGTGATCCAAATCAAGCAGTTGCAAACTTTCAGCAATACAAGCCTCTAAGTCTCTGGTTCTCAAATGGGGGTCCGCGAAGCCCTGCGTCATAAGTCAAGTGCGGCAATAAAAGTTAATTTTTTTTTTTTTTTCAGATTTAAAAGAAACGTTTCATTTTTTGGATGCGTTTTCTCGTCTCATCGGAGTTGTGTGTATGTCAACGAGAAAAGTCTACTTCGCACTATCCCTTAGTTATATCCGTTTATTAAACCATTGTCATATTTAACCTATACCCTTTCCCTTCCCCTCACTACAAACGGGGCCCTCCACTATCTCCGGCGATTCACAAAGGCTCCGTGAAACATCAATGTTGAGAACCAGTGCTCTAAGTAACGGAACTTGTGGCGCCATCTTCAAACAAGCACAACGAGCAGACGAAAAAAAAACCAAAACATTCAGCCTCTGCTTGCTATGCTTGTCGTGAGATAGAGCAACAACCCACAAACACCACCAGCTGACTAAGTATAATGTAAAAAAAGGGGCAATTGAAATAAAGAAATTATTCGTTCGGAGCAACGTTATCGACCGCCGCAGATTCCAGGATATGAGCGTAAAACTAGATACATAAATTTTGTCATTATTTTGAATATTCACCTTAGAGGGCCCATTCCGATTGGGATGTGTTGCCTGATGTCCAAACCAAACCAAATTGAAGGTTCGTGTTCAGAAAATGTAACGTCGGTCTGTCCTTGAGTTATGGTGGCAGTTTACGCTGTGTATAAGAAATTTAGCCAGTGCAGTACGATTGCCACCTGGGCTCTTTAAAGTGCATCACGCTGTAGCGCTACACGACCGCACTCCTGTACAATGCTTACTCAGATCGAAGTCGGCAGGGGTCAGTATTGAACTTGATTGAAGCCAGTATTCCTGGGTTTAGAAGGGCGAGCTTTCGTTCCACCGCTGCTGCACCGTTCCCCTCCATAGAGCAGAGAATCAAGTAAATTGACCGCGAAAGCCAAATTGAATGTAAGCAATTATAAATAGCTGCTCTTTTTTAAGTAAAAATAGCGAGACTGGAAACAAAAACAATATAAAGCAGCTTGCTGATTCCCAGCCCCCTAGAAGTTAAAATCCAGGAATCAGGATATTGGAAGGAGCGTTTTCCAAATATGAGCCCACTAAAACTCCTAGCACCGGAGAATATAATGAAGCATGTGTTTTATTCACAGGTGCCCGCTCGCAAGATATAAGAATACAATTTGGTATAACTCCTAAAATTGGGGAGAGATGCAGTGATAAATTCAAGGAACTATGTTTGAAATCTCACGACCCAAAAAAGGGTCCGCTAATAAGGGTGAGTTGGTGAAGGCCTGGGACATGTCATGTACACATTTACAAGGGAAAGAAACGTAATAAGCACACGTTAACAACAACAAAAAAAAAAAACAACAACAACGACTCCCTTTTTTGCACTTTGCCGGCAAAGGCAGTGGTAAAACAGTGTAGTGTGTATTGCTCCGCAGATGTACGCATCTTGTGCATCAAAGATGCTAACATCGCCGCACGTATAGCCTCTGAAAGGTCCCTTCTAAAGCAATCATACGGATAGAAGAAACCGAGAAAAAGGAGGAGATGAGAGCGCTTGGATACGTCAGAGTGCCGATCTTGGGCTGGGATGATTAGTGGGCAGACGAAAAGATAGCTGCTTCTGTCTCTACTTGCGGTTCAAACGCGTTCAAACGACAAACACCGGCGTCCGGTCTTCCGCGTTCGCACTTGAATAGTAAGTAGATAAACATGACGTATGTTTGCATAGATTTCTGAAAGGCACGCGACTTGTGACATATGTTTGTTAATGTTCAAATATGCAGCGTACAGAGCTTTAACAAGAAGTTTACAGGATACCTCTCATACTTAATTTTCGTGTTGAGGAGCTTTTGTACGAATACTATGACTAGAATGAAGTGTTGGGCTAGTTGGGAACACACAACAAGATCCCAAACTGTCGGACAAGGACGCGTAGACGTGAGAAAGTCAAGAGCTATTTTATGTAGTGGATGCCCCGTTCACTGCTTGTACTTGTTTTTGCCTCTAGCAGAGTATGGGGACTTTCTCAAAAAGGCCGTTTTAGCGCAACCACTGTAATGATATTTCCGAACAAAGAGCTTAGTGCAATGTTTTTTCCAGATAGATTTAGATTTCCCTTGGTGCAAGCTTAGCTGCAATTTTGAGGAAAGTCATGGCAAGTGGCATGTTACGAGAATGGATCTTCCTGATAATCTGCCGTGCGAATATGGGCGGGTAAGTTCACTATTTGGTAAGAGATATAGAATAAAATAGCCGGAACGAGTTTCTTATTGAATTGCAACCCGGGGATGGCTCTCTTGGGATTAGGTTTCTTTTTAAATATTTTATTTCCGAATAAATGTATGGAGTAAAGTGTTGAGTCTTAGTTATAACATCCATTAATTCAGTATATTTATCGAGCTCATGTGTTTAAATAATAATATTCTTCAATTATAGATGCTGCTTTATGGGTGATATGCAAACAATTTTTGTCAACAGGTATGCAAGAACGGAGCATGCATCCAGGACGTATGCTAATAATAATAATGACACAATCGAATATGTTATAGACAACTGCACCATGCTTCAAAGGCAACGCTTTCAATCAAGGACAGAGGTTGGGAGTGACTTATTTTTTTACCTTATGCACAGCAGAATTTATTGTCCTTTCTTGCTGTTTGGACTTTTGGTTCTGTTGGTCTCTGGTGCCTGTAAGAATGTCCGCAAAACGGAGGCCGATGTTGACTCTTCGCGTTGGGACGCCGGACGGCGGCGCCGTTCACGCTGGTGTGGTCTGGCCTTTAGGCGCCCGTTTCGAGCTTGAGTGGCTTGGCCGTCACCGTCGCGTCGGTGTAACCGCGCGTTGCACCATGCGAATAATGCAACCGGGCGTAACCGCTCGCGATCGCGCGCGCGCCCCCCGTCGGATTTTTTGTTCTCTCGTTGTATGCTCTTCGTTTGATTCTTCCGTCTCGGCTCTCATCTTTCGCATATATCAGCATCGAAACCCCACTCGCTGCCTACATTGTAGGTATCCATGATGGCCTGGTGATCAGCGTGAATGTGATTATCCTAGCCTGCTCGTTCATCTTGCGACGCCGCCGCGCTCTGAAGGGAAGGAGGCGCAGGTTTTGGTTCCGACCGAGTTCGTTGTAACGAAACACCGAAGGACAGACAGGTCAGTGCTTTGCTGGCCCGGCGGCGTATCAGAGATGAAGGTTACTTTCGAGAGTGTCGCCAAATCAACGCTACATCCGTCACAACACAGACGACATGCAACAAGGGCCACGGAGAAACTCACTTGTAATTCCGAATTCCTCTCCTATAATTTCCCAGCGGTTGTTCTTAGCATCCTTATCTATAGGTAGTCTGGCTGCGTCTTGTCATGCAAAAAGGGACACAGTCGCACAGCTTCGAGGAACCGCTCCGTGGGGGAAGGCATTGGGGGAAATATATGGATAGCAGACGAAGGGAAACAACGCTATGTCTCTTCGGAACGTGAAAGACGCACGGAGAACCGGCTTGCGCGTTGCCATGGCATCGCAACGTCACTATAAACGCCACCTTCCATTGGCTCCTCTCTTCTGCGACGAGGAGCAGCGAGCTCTGAACCCCGCGAGGACCGGTTGGCTCTGCGGCGCTGTACGTCGCGCCGCTGAAGGCAAAAACTGGTGTTGGTCGGCAGTCCGCGGCGCCCAGCGTCGCGCGGCAAGCCTCCAAGACGCCAGTGTGATCGTGCCTTTAAGGGCCGTTTATACTCCGTCGTAACGTCAACGAGCGCACGCGCTCGTTCACGCTCGCTGACGCTGTCGGCGAACGGGGTGTCTATACTCCAACGTCGAGTTCGATGCGGCGCAGCGCAAGCAGCTCGACGCGCGACAATCTAGCTTACGACGGACTTGGGCATGCTCTACGTTCGACGTTCGACGACGACGGCGCCGACGGAGGCTATCCCAGAAGCCTTCGCGCGAATGCCTCATTCGGGAATCCGGTTGCGAGATGCTGCTTTCTGGGATCTGAACCTGTCGTTCTTACCGTGTGTCGTGTGCTGTTGTCGTGTTCCCGTGTCAGTGTGCGTATTTAACGTTCGTGCGCTTGACTGGGCGAGTGTGTGCGTGGACGTGGACCGCTTCGAGGATGCGCTACCCTCGATTCTCGATAGGCCTACCGACCTAACCGTGGTGTTGGGGTGCCGGCAAAACCTGGAAGCTCGACGACGCGCCAGAGGTAGGGTTAATTATAATTAAGCATGACCTAATGTGTGTGCTATTTATAATCATGTGCTAGTCGCACTCGCCGGCAGTCGCTCCCAATCGAAAAAGCGTCGCCGAATGTATGGGAACGGTGGACACAGGAAACCTTTGAACTATTTAGCCGGCCAAAAATTTTCTACTGGGTTGTCTCAGCTTGTACACGGTTTCAGCTTGCAAACGATAGTAGCGGTACGCGATGAGAATTGGACTGGATTTTGTATTTTTTGTATAGGCTTTGTAAAGTGCGTTTCAATTTCGAACGCGTACATTCTGTAATTTAGAGATCGTCCACTCTCTTCGATGGCCGTTTCTTAACTCAGCGTGAAAGTCTACTACGATGATAACACAACGAATGCCTGTCAGAAAGATGTCTCTTTGGAATATCGAGTGCATCGATTTCATCGAAGCATTCCGGCGCTGGCACTGCTCCGGTGAACCTGCGAAGCAGCTAAGTTCGACAAACGCGATATCGGAGTACCTTTTATTTTTTTTGCATTGACATTTGTATGACATTTAGGAGAAAATAAATGCTGGTTTGCACTCGTTATCACCGTCATTCGCTTGTTTTTGAACTGCTAACCGCTACCCCGAATGGTTGTTTTGAAGCGTGACATGACAACACGCGGACGAACCACACTGACTAATTGTATCTAGGCTAGGTGGCGCAAGCTACCGCCCATAGATAACCCGTAGAGCCGATGCGGCTGCCACGGAGACGCGCATGCTCAAAGGGGGGTAGTTCGATGGGACGCGCTGGACCAGCATTGGTCTACGCTGGACTGTAAAGACCATCGTTCGGGCGCTTCTCGGCTCGGCGTACTGGCCGACAACGCGCCAGCGCGCGTTGTCGGCGCCAGCGCGCGTTGCGTTCGTCGACGTTGGCGTATAAACAGCCATTTAGAGATGCGCTCTAAAAACACCGACCGCGGCGCTGTTCAACCAAGCTGTACGTGGAATTAAGCCTCAACCTTTTCTTTTCGAACAGGTCCGCGTGCTAACCTTTGCTTTTTATTTACTTTTAGTTGAATTTGCACGCGAAAAGAAACAACCCCTAAAGTTTGTAGAGCGCGCATTTATAATTGGGGCATCGTTCGCCTCGCAAGTGTAGGCTTTAAAGTCTCGAATGTTCCGGTAGCATATTGCTGGTTCGCCGGTACGCCTACGGTAGCGTCTCGCATAAGCAGTAACGGAGACCCCGCATCCGAGACGTACTGGTATCGTACTGGTATCGAATACCGGGAGTTTGCTAAAAGTCTCTAATGTCCACACCGAGTCGTCCGGTACCGAACTGTCCGGTACCGAGACGTTGGATTCCTAGTCACAAAAATATAATTTCAGGAGGTATGCGAACATTTTAACGTTTGAATACGATGCGAATATTTTTATTTGAATTTCATTTCAAAGGAGACATAAGCTTCCTTTGTCTTCACTGCACTTGTGGAACGCGTTAGAACGCAAAACGCCGGCGTCCGGGGTTTTGGTGTTCGCGTTCAAACGCGATCAACGAGCGCGGTGGAGACAAAAACAGCTGAGTCATTCCACGCCAAACGATCCAGGCTTAAATTTGACCCTCACGGATTCGGTGTAAAGAAATTGTGTGTGCTATGGGTGAGGTAAAAGTACCTTTTCTAAGATATTTTCGCTGTAACTATTGTTTTTACGACTATTTGAATTTGTCGGAAAAAAAACCCATAGGGTAAAAAACATTTTTTTTTTTTTTAATGTGAAAGCATTAAGGCACGTTCACACTCTTGCGACCTTTTAAAACTAGGGATGTCGCGAACCACCCGTTCGATTTCGAAATGTTTCGATATTTGCGAAGCGAACTAAGGTTCGATTTCGAAGAATTCCGATATTTTCGTACCGACCGAGGTTCGAAATCGAAAAATTCGCAACTTTCAATCACAGTGGAGTTTCGAATTCGAAAAGTTCGGAGCTTTCACGGTTTCTAAAATTTCGGATTCGCTTATTTCGAATATTTCTTGCTTCAGGTTCGATAAATTCGAAGATTTCGAAATTCTTTGGAAATAAAATTCGAAAACTTTGAACTCTTCGAATTTTTATAGACATGAAGTTCGAACAATTCGAAGATTTCGAATTTCTTTCTGCATAAAGTTCGAAAAGTTCAAAGGTTTCGATTATCTTTTAACTCTAAATTAAAAAAAAAAAAAAAATCGGAGATTTTGAATTTCTTTCGAGTCCAAGTTTTTAAAGTTCGAAGTCTGGTTTTCAAGTTCCTCCACAGTTTCAGTTTCAAATAACGTTTGCACGACTCACTGGTTTTCACAAAATCAAGTTTAGAAAAGTTAGGGTGGGATATCTAAATTCAGCGAAGTTGGTCAGGCAATTAAATGAGACGACGAGTGTCCCGGATGTGCTGGAATATTTGCCAGTGCAGAGTGACGTGTGACCATAGATCAGTAATTGTGACCACCAGCCCCGGGGGGGGGGGGGGGGGGGGGGGTTTAACCTGCATCACGCAGTAGTGATCACACGAACACACTGTTTTACGAGACTCATCCAGTTCGAAACGGCCAGGGACGAGCAGTAGGTTGAGGCTCAGAAAAACCTTGAAGCGACCTGGCAAACTACCTCGCCACCCCTTGCACGCTGGTAGTAATCCGATCGAACGCCGCCCGAGTGACGCTGGCATATAGTAAGTTAAGTATGCAATTGTCCTGGAGGTTTATTTTCTGGGACGGAGGAATCGCCTCGCAAAAAGCCGACACAACTCGAGGTCGAGGAGCGTTCTACCATACAAGTGGCGTCGGAAGAGGAAAAACGGGGGGAATGAAGGTAGCGGGGGGGGGGGGGGGGCTTCAGTTTTCTTCCCCCCTTCCAGATATTTCAGACTGTTAAAGAAAACAATACGGGGAAAGAGGGCGTGGTTGAGCTTATTTTAATCTGAAATTATTTATGCATATGTCGTTCTTCACTGCATAAAAGATTGCGTAGATGGTCATTGTTAGAAACTCGTTGTCAGAAGGCACTACTCGTCACATGCTTAGTGGTTCGGAAGTTCAAAGCTATGTCTTTTCAACCTAAATACCTGTGCCAATAGCAAAAAAAAAAAAAAGAATAAATAATAAAAAGAAAGAATAAATGCGGGGATAAAAAGCTGGAGAAAAAAAAACTATAAAGAATTCGCCGGAAGTGTTGTATTCTTGCATATTCAGAGGTTCACAACTTCGAAACAAGTTTATTTTACCAAAATGTGTACAGGCTAAAAGAAACACGTCCCAGGAACGTGAAGAAGAAAAAAAAAAAAGATGTTTTCTTTTAATG